CTGACGGGGACGCAAAGCCCATACATCCTGTATCTCTGTCCCCCTCGTCGTCGTCGCTTTCCGCATGCTCCTGGGCACTCTTGATGGGGATCCACGTGAGCCCCGACTCCCTTGGGGGTCGGCGTTCCATCCCGAGCCGTGCTTTTTGACAGCCCCCGCGGCCGAGAAACCGGTCCCTCACGGAGGCCGACAACGACGGGAGGCCTCCGCCTGGGATCGGGGGTCGCAAACCAATCCCCGAACCTCTCGGGTGCGCTCCAGCCAGAAATTCGAGGCGCATCCAGTGCGGCAACGAGGAAGCTCAAAGAGACTCAAGGCTCCACAACCTCGACCGTCGAACCTCGACCCTGGGATCCTCGAATCCTCCTCTTGATTGTCTGGCAGTGCGTCCACCGCCTGGGCCTGCGACAGGCCTGGCCGAGGGGGGCAAAAAAAAAACTGGCGCCAGAAGTTCCGACAGTACGTGCGCATTTCTGGGGTCGGTGCTGGACCCTCTCCTCCTGCTCCTCCTCCTCCTGCTCCTCCTCCTCCTCCTCCTCCTCCTGCTCCTCCTCCTGCTCCTCCTCCTCCTCCCCCTCCTCCCCCTCCTCTCCTCCTCCTCCTCCTGGGCTCCTCCTCCTCCTCCTCCTCCTCCTCCTCCGCCCCTCCTCCTCCTCCTCCTCCTCCTCCTCCTCCTCCTCCTCCTCCTCCTCCTCCTCCTCCTCCTCCTCCTCCTCCTCCCTGCTCTCCCCCTGCTCCCCCTCCTCCCCTTCCTCCCCCTCCTCCTCCCGCGCCACTCATGGCCCGAGGCCTGGGCCCCAGGGCTTGTCCTGCTGCGGGCCCCGCGCGGACGTCTCGGGACGGAGCTGGGGCCTCCCCCCCGTCGCGCCAGGGTCGGCGCTGGAGGCGCCGCCCAGGGGCGGCAGGAAGAGGTCCAGCGCCGTCCCGAGAAGTCCGCGCGGACCTTCGAATATATATATATATATATATATATATGTATGTGTATGTATACTTATAGATAGAGAGAGATAGGTACATATGTAAAGATATATAGTTGCATCCATGTATAGGTAGATGCTCATGGGTATAGTGACATAGATATAGCTATAGGTGAATAGAAGCATAGAAATAAATATAACGATGTCTATATGTATGTATATACACATGCATACATATATGTAGAACATCTGATTATGCATGAATGTGTATAAAATAGAAGTTGTTATATCAACATATGTATATATATGTACATATACGCACATAGATATATAGACACAGAGCGACAGACAGACAGACAGACAGACCCATACCTACATTTCTATATACACACATGCACACATAGATACATACATAGATGCATGCAAACATACATACACATACACTTATACCCATACAGAAATGCATATATATATATACGTACGTACATACATGCATACCTAAGCGCATGGGTATCTATACATATATATGAATATATATATGTGTGTATATATATTCATATATGGATAGGCATGCCTATATACATACATGCGCACACGTATATACGTAGATATATGCAGGCATACAGACAGACATGCATACATTCATACGTTCATACAGGCATAAATGCATACATTCATATATTCATATACTCCTACATACACACATACCTGCATACGTACATGTACACATACATGCATACAGGCATGCACGCATGCGGACATGCATGCATACATATTTACACGGACGTAGACATACCTTACATACATTACGCCGCACTACATTACAACACAGCACATCAGATTACATTACACTATACTGCATTACATCGCACTAAAAAGCATACATACGAACATGCATATATACATATCGACCAGCATGGATGCATACATGTATTATGCATGCCTGCATACGTAAATACAAACATACATACCTAAAGACATGCATGTATGTATGCGTGCATGCATGCATACATACATGTATGTAAATGTACATATGCACATACACATACACGCAAACATACATATATATACATGAACATATACCTATGCATGCACTTGTGCATGAACAGATAAATATACACATGCATACACACATGCATGTGCAAATAAGTTTACACTCAAATGCACACATGCATACACAGATACATATACAATGCGAATATGTGTACACACAAGTATACATGTATACAAATATATGCATGTATAAGTACACATACGCATACGTGTACAGGTACATATCCCTGCAAGTGCATATGCACATATACATATACATGCACTTCTACACATATATATATACAGATACATATACATACACGTACACATTTGCACGTACGTATACGTAGTCATATATATGGGCATATGCATATACATACGCATATACATGTTACACCGAATTACAGGCATACAGGCATACATACATACGTACATGCATGCACGCATACATACATATATACATACACACTCATGGGCGATCTTCATATACAAGTGTGCATCCGTGTCTACAGATGTGCGTCGATGAATATATATATATATATATATATATATATAGATATATAGATGTGCATTCACCAAATTATCCTTGAGGACCGAGTTGGAGTGTCCTCAGGTCCCAGCGAGTTCTCTGCATTGAGTTCTGCACATGTTCTTGAAGGCGCCCGCAGCCTGGAAATCAAGGCTCTCTCGGGCACTCCTGGGCGCTCACGGACGCCCCCGGGAGATACGGGAGGTTCCCCGCGTGACTTCTCGGAAGACCAGCAGCGCGTTGTTCAGGGATGCATGTCCGAAGATGGTCCCAAGGACCGTCCTGGAGCCTTCTTGGGCACCTCTTGGGCCGCCTTGGAGGCCCAGGGTGGCCCAAGAGGCCAAAATCGTCAAAATCCAATGGTCGTCTCGTTTTCGCACTACCGCCTTCTCAATCTTCGGAGCGTCCACGACGGCACAAGAGGAGGAGGAGGAGGAGGAGGAGGAGGAGGACAAGATCGGCCCAAAACGGCCCAAGAGCCCACAAGAGGGGCCCAAGAGGCCCCGAGGACGGCCTCAAGAGGGGCCCAAGATGGGGCACACGAGCCGGCAGTTCGAGCCCTCCGCCCCAAGATGGCTCCAAGATCCCCCCACCAGCGAGGTGCGCCCAAGAGGCCTCAAGAGGCCCCCACGAGGCCCAAGTCAGCCCCCCGAAGGCCCCCAAGACGCCCCAAGACAAAAACCCGCCTCCAAGAGGCGCCCGAGAGGCCTCCCAAAAGATCCTCACAGGCATCCTGGAGGCCTCTGACCCAGAACCCAGGCACGGTGTCGGCATGAGCCGAATGCCGCGAGATCCGCCGCCCCCTTTTGCTTCAGCAAAGGGGTGCCCAGCGTGCCAAACCCTATCGGTTTTGGTTTTGGTTCTTTTTCCAAAAGAATTCTCCCAGTGGGCTCCGGCGCGTCCCGCAGGGGCCGCGGAAGGCCCGGAAACGAGCTCAACGACCACAAAAAATCCTCCAAGATGGCTCGAGATGGCCTCCCAGACGGCCAAGATGGCCTCCAAGACGGCCCAAGACGGCCCAAAAGGCCCTTAAGATCGCCCCAAGACCGCCCACGAGGCCTCCAAGATGGCCCCGTGACGGCCCAAGAGCCTCCCAAGAGGCCCCCAAGAGAGCCCCACGACGGCACAAGATGCCTCCAAGACACCGAAGGTGGTCTCCAAGATGGCCTCCAAGACGGCTCAGATGGCCCCAAGGTGCCGCCAAGACGGCCCAAGATGCACCCAAGACGGCCGTAGATGGTGTCAAGATGGCCCACGACTGCCCAAGAGGCCCCCCAGAGGCCCCCAAGACGGCCCTCGCTGCGGTTATGATCAACCTCGTATTCCCCGAAAGCTGTCAAACGCAACTCGGGGAACAAACACCTGAGTAGACGGGACAAGTTGCAGTCGCAACGTTCCGACACATAAGCTCTTCCAGAAAAGCAGGAAGCCTCCAAGATGGCCCCTGGGTGGCCCAAGAGGCTCACAAAACGGCCCCAAGGAGCCTCAACACCGACGGAGAGACCATACAGGACCTCCAAATCCACGACAGGTCCCTCCAAGACGGGCAAGATGGCCTCCAAGACGGTCCCAAGACGCCTCCCAGACGGTCAATATGGCCCAAGATGGCCTCCAAGATGCGTCCAAGATGATCAAGACGGCCCCAAGAAGCCCCAATATAGCCACAAGCTGACTTCTACGACATTCCCGATATGCCTCCAAGACCGCAAAGATAGCATCCGATAGAAACCGAGAGTGGCCCAAGAGGCACCCAAGAGGCCCCGTCCTCCCTTCTCCTTCTTCCTCCCTCTCCTCCCCTTCCTCCTCACCCACCGTGTTCCCCGAACGCTTTTCAAATCTATTCGAGGAACACATGGTCCGATAGCTTGGCAGGCATCTGCCCACAACGTTCGGCCACACGAGCGCTTCCGAAAAGGCAAGTTTTTGAAGGACTGTGGCAGTTGCTTTGTTTCGAACTTCCGACGCCCCTTACGGTTGTCGTCGACGCCCAGGGAGGCTCCGAAGGCGCTCAATTCCCAAAAAAATCCTCCAAGACGGCTCAAGATGGCTTCCAAGATGGCCACGTCGGCTCAAGATGGCCTCAAAGGTGGTCCAAGATGGCCTCCAAGTCCGCCAAAGATGGTCCAAGATGGCATCCAAGACGGCCCAAGAGGCCTCCAAGACGGCCAAGATGACCTTCAAGACGCCCACGTGTTCCCCGAAGGCTTTCCAAACCGATTCGGGGAACACATGGTCCGATGGCTTGGCAGGTCTGGCCTCAACGTTCGGCCACATAGGCGCTTCCACAAAGGCAGGGGGCGGCGGTGATTCGCCGTAGGCGTATTCGATCCGCCGCCCCCTTGTTGGCTTGCCACAAGGGTGCCTGGCGTGCTAGACGCTACCGTCGGTCGGGTGGTTGCCCCAGTCGCCTCCAAGACGGCCAAGAAGCCCCCAAAGATCCCCAAGAGGCCCAAGGAGGCCCCCAAGATGCCTCCAAGAGGCTCCCAGGAAGCTTCCAGGAGGCCCCAAGAACGCCCGTAGAG